GGCACGGCTAAGCTTTTCGGGCAAGAAGATGAGAGAGACCTCGAAGGGCGATGTTAAACCGGCCACCTCCGAACCCATCATAAGTGTCATTATTATTCTACTCTATCTCCTGAAGGGACTTGTCTAACGAGGGCTATGTACAGTTCAACCTAATTAATTACCCCAGGCTCCCCCGACTCCCCGAGCCCAGAGCGAGGACTCCGGTGTCCCCACGCAGCCACCCGAGGCGATGCCCGTCGCCTCCGGGACACGGAGCCAAGCGCGACCGCCTGCAAGCTGCCGCCTCCGGCAAATCCCACTGCTGAGCTGGGAATGGCAGCGCTCCTCTCAAAGAAGGGAAGTTCCGGATCATCCTGCTCCCCTTGTACTGCGTTAGTTGCCGCTAGCAGTTAGCTTTTGTGTTCGAGTGTAAGATAGGACACTAGCCCTCACCCGCTTCCATCTTTGCACCTGCTGAAGAAGTTCAAGACACGAATTTAGATCACTGCCGGGGGAGGCAAAGTTGCTCGCAAAACCACTCACCCACGCAAACAGGCACAGGCTGATCCTTCTGCGGCCAAAGCTCCCACCTCTTCTACTCTTCACAAGCTTTCTTAGGAGCGATTTTAACTTGGACCCATAAAAATGGCAAGATTTTACTTATGGGAAGAATTGCATCCCTAAATAACTGCAGTTTTGGTCACCTTCAGCTTTCAAAGCCCTACCCAGCCCACCCTGACAGCTGTGGGCAGCCAGACGAAGGCTGGCTTTAGGATGGCGCTTGCTTTTGACAGCAACAGCAGAGACCGCCAGGTCACGTCTCCTCCTTTGCAGGGCCCACAGCCTCCCACGGCAGAGTGATGTTCAGGTGATCGTGGGTCCCACCGCTTTTACTCTTGGAAGAAGAGGATGCAAGATCTGAACCTGGGTTCACCAGCTCTGCGGCTGGTAATGACAGCCAGTGACTCTGCCTTTCTGCAAAAATGAATGTGGGAAAGTTCCTTCTTCCTCCATAAATCAAATTAGGTGAAAAATTACTAAAAGGACATCTCCATCATTCACTGGCACTTCCATAGCAACCGGTGCAGGACCGCTCGGCTGAGCGCTTCCCATTCATGGCAGGGAGGAGGGACCTGGACAGCAGCAATCCCCACGGCCGTGTGGATACTGTTAGCGGCAGTGGCAGGAAGCGCTTGCCATGCCTTTGCAATATAGGGTACAACTGCTCAGAAATGTGAGAGCGGTTTGGTTTTTTTTTTTCCCCACCACTGCAATTCAGAAATAATCCTGCTGCTCACGGGACTTGGACTTAATCTCCCCATTCAGGCACAGAAGTAGTAGGTCTCGGCATGGAGGTGGACACTACGTGAGCCTCAGATGTCTACGCTATCAGGCAAAAGGCTAATTTACACTTCGGACCTGCTCGTGCCTTGGCACTTCTGCTCAAACTACCCAAAGAAAAGGAGCCAGATGAACACCAAATATAGTGACGGTCCTTGTAACCAAACACCTTGCCCTAGCCCGTATTTTACACAGCCTTTTGAGCAAACGTTGTGCACCATCTTCCCCACCTCTGGCCCAGAAAGATGTTGCATTTCCATTATCCTGAGACACAGTCTAGCTGCATCTATTTTAGAGAGTCTCTTTCCGTTCTCCAAATAGCGATAGCAGGTCTTTAAATGTCCTCTCACATTAAGGGCAGGCAGGAGGGAAAATGAAAGTTAGCAGTAGCAAAGTGCTCTGGATTCCACTGGCCAATATCCGTAGCTCCTACTGCTTCCCATCCAGCCAGTATTCCTCCCTGAGAGTAGTCTGTAACTGGAAAAAAAATCTTGGCTAACTCAGTAAATTCCATCCTTTCCCACTAGAGCATGTGCTCAGCTAGGTCTCCATCCTGCTGGGAGGCACCAGAAGTTAGTATGTCCCAGTGGGACCTGTGGCTGCCGCCCGCACGGCTCTGCCAGACAGCCCTGCGATGCCGTCCCCTCGAAGGGCGCAGAGCCAGCTCGCGGGCATGCCGGCTCCCAGCATCCAACTCTACCTCTTGGCATGCAGCAAGGCTTCCCACTGCAACGGCAGCACGTGCTGGGCCATGACCTCCGGAGGATGGGAATAACACGGGGCTTTTGCTTCTGTGGATCACCCTTCTGGTGAAAGGAAGCCAACCGCATGGTCATCTTCATTACAGGCAAATTAAGCGTGACCTGTTGCCTGCTAATGAGGTGCCAAGGCCGGCGAGGCAGTTCCAGAGTAGCTGGCTGGCCAAGATGAGGGTTAGCCTCATGGCCAGCACAACACCCTGGGCCTGGCATGGCTACACAGAAACGGGTGAGTCTGAAAGGGCTGGAAACGTGAGAGATGCAAGTGCGGGTTTTAAGGTTTTGGGGATGATGGAGGAACAGGTCAGGGTAGGGGCAGGAATCCCAGATTTTTTCCACTTCAGATTCCTCCTGTTATTATTCTCTGCCTTTGTTGCTCAGCTATGGGTCCAAATACAATGTGAGGAATAAACAAGGACTTTGAAATACAAAACAGGAGTGGTTTCTGTCTTTGGCAGGCAACACAAAATGGGGTTTATCTGGTGCTGCCTGGATGCTGTATTGGCACAAGAATTTTTCCTCCCCACCCTTCTTGCTCCTGCTTTCCTTCCTCTTGTGTCCCTCTTCCTCCCTTGCGTCTGGCCTAGGTACATGCATCCTGGAAGCACAGTTTTATAGTTTAGCTCTTTATTGCGACACAGAATTTTTCAGTGTGTTTTGGAAATTGCCCTTGTAGTAGAAGAATCTGCAGGGCAGACCAGAGAGGTGGCTGCTGTCGTCCGTGCCCTGCTGCGGGCTGGCCTCTGCACCCCACCACCTCCAACTAGAGCTCTTCAGAGATGATGACAGAAGGGACAGGCTTTCCCAACTCACTTCTCAGTAGCTTTCTAGGAACTGATGGTTTGTCTTGCGTAAAATCCTCTTGGTGGAGAGGGAATGGTGATGACTAAGTCCTAAGAATCATTCCTCGCTGAGCAGGCTGGTGTACAGGGACTGGCTCCACAGCCAAGCCCAGTGGGGTGGTTTCAAGTGGTAAAGTCTGGCTCAAGGGGGCTCTTGCCCCTGAACTTGGAAGGGAATTTCAGCCTGGCAGCAGTCAGGGTGACTTGAGCCGACATGACCGGCAGCAAGCTTTCCTGTAGTACCAGTGAGAGCACAGTTTCACCTTCAGCACCAGCACGCAGTTGGCCGTTGCTTTGTCTTCACAGTCTTCTTCTGGGGAGCAGAAGCATGCACAGAAGGGGTTAAAAAGGAGACAGATATGCTTTCCCAGCAGAGAGCTGGACAGAGGGAAGGCCTCCCAAGGGCTCCTCTCCCTCCCTGCCCTGCCAGACTTACCTGGTGCCTCTGTGGGGCACAGCTGGAGTTGGCACATCTGCCGAGCTTCTGGTTTGGAAGCAGGGTCACAGCCCTGAGCCAGCGCATCCCCCTGGTAACACTTCACCTCACGCAGTCGCACACCAGCACCACACGTCTTGCTGCACTGTCAGGATTGAGAGAGAGGAAAGGGATCGTGAGAGGCATTTTTTTATTTTTCTACAGTTCCCAAGTTCATTCTTCCAGTGAGGCTTCCTGGTCCTTGCTTTGGAGACTGTTCTTGAGGAGGTTTGGGTCAAATCCCACACTGACCTCAAACTTATGCTCCCATTTTGTTGCTGGAGGAGAGCCTCCCTGAGCCAGGGTTGGGGCAGAGCAAGGGAGGAGTTTGCTTTAATCTCTTTAATGCAACTCGGAATTGTTTTTGCTTTGAGTGTTGATGCTGTGATAGAAGATGGAGAAAATGGTTGCTGCGAGCCAGGCCCAGCTTCCCCTGTCCTCCCATTCCCTAAATGCTCACCAGTTAAAATCAAGGGAAAGCAGGGGAAGTCAGAACATTGACTCCCGGCAGAGGAGGAGATGGCTGTATTGCCTGCAGTGCAGTGCATGCTCTTGCTTGAGGCAATAATCCACATGCTCTAAGGTTTTCCCCAGCTCCTGTGCGCCAGTCCCTCCACCTGCTGCCTGGTCTGCAGAAGAGCAGCGCTTATGGTCCCATCGAGACCTAACGGAGCCCTCAGCAGAACAGGCTGCTAGAAATCCTCTGCAAGTCATGCTCCACCAACCAGGGTTATAAGGTCTCCTCACCCTCTTCCCCACCACCCTGAGCCCTACCTGAGACCAGGAGGTAGTGAACCATGTTGAACATGGCGTCTTGAAACAGGCAGCTTGCTCCTCAGGTTTCTGAGAGGCCTCACAGCGCTTCTCAGGGTACTCCCTGTACACACCATTCTCCAGGCCCGCACACAAGACAACCCGGGTCTTCATCCCTCGCCCGCAGCTGGCATCACACTGGGAAAGAGAACGTAACAGCCAGGTAACAAATGACGCTTGTCAGCTGTAGAGCTTCAAGTAAGATATAAGGTGCTTAATGCGCATGCTAACACCAGTCTAACAGAGGTAGTACTGCCCAGGTCACAGGAGCAATGGGTGTCTGCAAAGGAGGTGAATTTCTTAGGGAGCGAGGACAGGAGCTCATAATTAGTATTTAGTCAGCACTGGGGATGCCAAATTCACCTTGGCTGGCCTGGAGATCAGCTACCACAAGGGACCTGGAGCAGCCAAGGTAAGACTACAAGACGCTGTTTCTGTCTTATTTTATGTGTATCTATGTTCTCAAAAACCATGTAGCCTATTCGTGTAGCAACCTACATCTTGGAGTACTGACAAGCTTTGCGTGGGCCCAAACTGGTGCACTGCAGG